GGGCCCTGGTTTGTTGCCTCCCTTCCCGTCTTCGGCAGTTGAAAGCAAAAGAAACTGCCAAAGGGCGTCGCGGGTTTTCTGATTTGGCCAAGACGATGAAACTTCTACAAACAAAAGCGGCGGAGCGGTAAGAAACCGCCCGGGAGACCAAAAGCGGAAATGTTGCGGCGGGGGCCCGGGTTTGTTGCCTCCCTTCCCGTCTTCGGCAGTTGAAAGCAAAAGAGACTGCCAACGTGTGGGAGTAATATAGAGCGAGCGAAGGCCGTTCCGTGTGGAAGTAATATCAGCGGCGGCTTCAGCTCTGCTCTTCTTGGTCATGTCCTTGAGGGGAACCGCGGAGAGGGGTGCTAGTTCTGCTTTTTCATATGTTCGGAACCGACGGACGCGCCAAGAAATTCCGGTCCTCCAAGTCGCCGGATGAGCATGGTTCCAGGAGCAGCAACGCTAAGTATCTAGATGAAAGCTGTTTTATACTTTACGTTTTTCCTCACTTCAGCATCAGCTTCACAACCAGGAAAAGCTCGACGGAGAACCATGCATGCTATACAGTAGTGTCAACCTACTCCATCTACAGCAAGAGCCTGTGAATAGTGGTGCTGGTGCTGCTCAAGCGAGATTATCTCAGCAGCGCCACTCCGTGCAAATAATTGTTTTGTCGCTGCGCCGCGAGATAACCCAACCGGGTTTGCTGAGATGGCGTAACGACGCTTGGTGTCGGTGTGATGAAGAGGATGGTTAAAAAGAACAGTTTTCGTCGCAATATAATCGCGCCCCACGTCCAGCACGACCACAGCGACGGTTTGGCCACCGGACCCTCCACGAGCCGCACGTCCGCAGAGGAGGATGACTAGGTAGCATGAAGTACACCAGGGGAAGGGGCGGTGGAGTAGTGGGCACGCTATCTGATCTTACTTGTTGAAACAGAAAACGAATCGTATATACACATACAACTCAAATTGAAATTATTGAAAAATACCTTACAGTTTCGATTCGTCGTGTACAATTTTTGAGGTGCATATAATGAAGTAAAGGCTGCGACACCAACGCCAGTTCGTGTTTAGTCGTTATCTGTCTTTTTCACAGTTGTTCATTTTCACGCACATAATTTTTTTTTGGGGGTCCGGCAGACTTATAAATGCGGCTTCGATCGTCTTTAAGCCGAAAGGAAATATAATGACATGCGCTGATGTTCGCTACTGGGCAAAGCAGCTGTACATGACCTGTACAATTCATCATGTGAAGAGATAGAGACGTCCATGCGTTTTCATGTTTGTACATCATATTCACGCTCGCATGCGTGCCAAGCCGCAGTGCCGTTCTTCCGAAGCGATGCAGGGGTCTCTGACTCTGACAGACTTGTTACGGCAACCGCTTCCCCTTGTGTTCGACGCTGTTGCGAGGGCTGGCGTCAGCACTTATGCCAAAGGAGATCCGTTTTGAGTCTGACATAACCATTAGCGTAGCCACGTTCTAGGCACGGTCTGATAACGCCCGGACCGGCAGGCTCCACAGAAAATACAGTGGGCTCGTTTTGCATGCGATCTCCGGCTCTGTTACTTCCTTTGTCTTTATCGTGTTCTTTTTATTCTCTCTATGCCAGCAAGCTCAGAAAGAAGCTCAGAAAGAAGATAAAGTTTTCCCATGCGAAAAAATTTGGCTTTCATCGCGAAAACCATCTGCCGCAAAAAAAAAATGATATACAACCTTTCTTGCTGATCGATCTTCGTATGAACACTTTTTTACTAGCTCGACGCGTTTCTGATTGATACGACATTTTTAGTAGCAGGCGTAAGTACTTAAGTACAACCTTTGGGCGGTTTCAATTTAAAATATACTAGCATTATCAAGATAGAGGTCTCGTCTGTTTCCGAAGAAAGGGGCGAGTACATCTACGCACGTACACAGGCTCAGCCACCGTTCCTACTCATTCTGAAGAAGAACAACTTGCGGAGCAAGACAGCGTGACCCTGGGGAGGATCGGAAAGCCTCGAGCATCTGACGTACGACGAGAAACAGCAACCTCTTGTCGCTCGCTCTTTCGTGTCTCTGAGCGCACTTCTGACACGACTATCATAATGTGGGCTCTGCTTGCTCACACATTTTGGCTCCACTTTTTCGTGGGTCTTTTTTGCGTGGACTTTTTTGTGGCCGCACCTGCACCGTTTCCGAAGGAAAAACTGGAAAAACTGCGCTTCCCCCTCGAAGAAGTCAACCCCGCGACAGGAAAAATGGAGCCGCGGCGGATGCCCTGCTGGACTTGCACACAAGAAGAACTGGAAGTATTGCGGGAAAAATTTTACCCCGATTTAGCCGAGCGCGTCGACCGTCTCACGAAAATTGTTTGCAGCAATCCGGGCCTACAGACCGAAGTCCCGATGCAGCAAAATCATCTCCAGATTTGCAAGGTCGATACCGCGGCGAAGAAGAAGGACGCTGCGTATCAAATGTAAAAATGTCTGGGTCTGGAAGATTGGAACTTGTGATGCTAACTTTGGGCTCTAGAAAAATCTGTAATGCATGACCAGCAAGAGGAGTCTAGTTTGTGCTACGCGGGGTGGGCGTTTGTCATGCGGAGTAGGCATTAGGATCCGGAAGCCCTCTCAAAATCTGTGATGCGCGATCGTGCATTACAGAGAGACATCCTGGGCCATGCAAAACATGCATGACAAATCTCAGAATCTTCCAGGCCCAGACATTTTTACATTTGAATTTGGTACCGCGCTGACAAACACAAGTTCCGCCACTTGGGCCGGCTTCGTCGACAGGAGCCAGGCACTTGTGGACTTAAAACAAGTGCTGGAAAAGTCATCCGCTTACGCGCGGCAGCGCGGTTCTACGTCCATCCTCGGGCGCTTGTTGCCTTTCCTGTCCGACCAACCACTGCCCGAGAAACGGATCGACACGGCGGCAACCAGTCCACCTTTGCGGCCAGAACAAGAACTGTGAGCAAGGACCATTGACCCTTCTATTTCTATACGATAACGATTATTGTCCCAGTAACCTGTAGCAAGAGAGGTTTTTGATGCGATTTTATCATGCCCCGGGCATGATAGAATCGCATGGTATGATTCGCAAACTGAATCCCAGCGTAATGCTAGCCTTTATATATTTGCGTGTAGTGATTACTACAAAAGTCCGGATCTATTATTTACGGGCTTTATGGATGCACAGTCGCATTTTTCGCTGATGAGAAACCAATTTGTGAGGATTTCTGAACAAAAATTTGAAAATAACTTCTCGTGCGCAAAGACGTGATCGAAAGATTTACGATCGTTTCCTGATAATTTGGGGAACATGATATCATGGTTCTAATCTCAGCACGGTGTTCCTGCTTACAGGCAAACTCTCCACCAACACCAGCTTCAACTACCTTCAAAGACCCCTCGGTGTTTTTTTAAAAGTTTTTTCCCGCGAGTGAGGTCGCGGCTCTCTGGGCCAAAGAACGTCTACGTTTCTTTCTGTTTTTTCTTCCCGATTTTTGAGGAGTACGTGTGACGTAAGTGAGCTGCTTTTCTGCAGTTTGATACAACAAAGAGATTCTACTTCTTGGTTGACATCTTCCTTTCCGATGAACGGCTGCCGGCATCTTGCCGTGATGAAAGCAAGATCATTCAGAGGTTTCGTTGTCGATGCCGCACTCTCCTGATACGTTTATGTGAACGTGAGTCAGTTGTATACTGTATTTGTTGCAGCTTCGCGCGTCCTGACTGTGGCTGTGTAAAGACATACGAAGCGGGGTATCGTCGTGACCAGCGCCAGAGATGAGCATGCTGGACAAGAAAGCGGGCAGCGGGTCAGGGCGGCGTCCCGTGGCTGTGGCCCCACTCAGTATGAACGAGCTTGAGTCCTACATCTTTTTCGCGTTTCGCGAGTACGCGCAAGCAGAACCGGACTGGGAACGCGCGGTGTGTGGTGCTTTGCGAGCGCTGCTAGAATTCGCCAAGTCCCGTGAACAGCTGCTGGAAGAGCAGCAGCCCTTCACCGTTTGCCGCGTCGGAATCGAGAGGTTTCGAGCCAGTCGGGCTGGGAACGACAAACAGGACGAATCCGGGCTGGGAATGACAAACAGGACGAATCCGGATTTCCATATTCTATTGTAACGTTTGAGATTGTAACAGCTGAGCAGGCTATATTGCAATGCATATGCGTCCGAGTGACTTCTCCGGTTGTCCCGACCGCGTCACCGATATCAAAAGCAAAAGTCCCTCCTCCCCATATCGAAAGGTAGATTTGCGATGCTGGATTTGCTTACACAAATCAGCTCTGTCTTGCAATGGAGGACTGCAGGCACATGCCAACCCTGGGCAGCGAGGTTGTGACATAGGCCACTAGCAGTACAAATGTCCACACTGTAGGTCCAACAGCATCACAAACCGCGCGCACAATGCGGAGCAGCCTGGGGGGTTGCCTTCTTGCAAGACAGAGACGATTTGTGGTCACAAATCAGCATTGCAAATTTTCTGTGGCCTCCTTTTCGATATGGGGAGGGGGGATTTTTCCTCACGATAACCGAGAGCCCTCTGCGCTTGAATGCGGTCGCTACCTGCGACGCGATGTTGTAAAGTGAGGGAGACAGCTTGCTCAGCTGCTGCTGCACACAAACTACTAGATATATTTATTACTTTCAAGATACTTATCAAAGTGAGGCATCTCCTCTATTTCCCATATCAAAATCGAAACTTCCGATGCTAAAGATTTGCGTACATCACAAATGAGGTGTTTCTTGCTGTAAGGAGTTGCAGTCAGATAAGAATTATCTGCCCGCTTGGGGGCGTAAGAATAATGGACTTGATGTGGCGATGTTGTTTGTACGTAAAAAGATTACATTTGTAATGTTGGTTGAAAGAACAATTTCACTTTCGAACCGCCTCGTGGTGTTTACCCCCGTTCTGGCATGGGTCGTTGTTCGTGCAGCTTTTGAAGATCCTTCTTCTGATGCGATTCCAAGACCCCGCCGCGTCTAGCAGATCTTTTCCCTCTTGACTACGCGGTCCTTGTGGAGACGTTTTAGTACTCAGGATATACCTGAAGTAGACTTATCAAACAAAAAAAGTTCGTCACGATCACTCATGCGCATTTTTGCAATACCAAACTGTCTGTCATGCGTGAAAATGCATCACAGCCAAACTTCATAAGGGATTTCCCTACTGTTTCTGCAATACAAGAAAAACCTATGATGTGGTGGGCACGTTTTTTCTCAGGATAAAAGATGTTCTGGATTTTGTGCTCGGAGACGTCCGAGACCTTGGGCGGCTGTGCGAGGTATCAAATGTAAATATGTCTGGGTCTGCAAGATCCATCGCCATGTTTGTCATGCATATTTTGCGTGACCCACGATGTCTGTAATGCAAGTCCTAGCATCACAGATTTTTACGGGGCTTCCTGATGCTTATTCCGCATGAGAAATGCCGTCCCCGCGTAGCACAAACTGGGCAACTTCTCTTGCTGGTCATGCTGCAATACACATTTTTTTGGAATCCAAAAACAGCATCACAAGTTTGCGTCCTCCCAAACATCCAGGGATATTTGCAGTTCATACGAGGTTTTCAAAAAGCTGGACCTGGTGATCCACGCGGCCGGTCGGAATCGAGAGGTTTCGAGCCAGTCGGGCTGGGAACGACAAACAGGACGAATCCGCGGCCTCTTTATTTGCTATTGCTAATGTCAATTTAGGTATGCTCCTGCTTCTACAGGAACGAAAAATGCGCCGCGTTTCTTTTGAGAACCGACCCGAGTTTTGTAACTTGAGCACTATGTAGCTGTTCACCATCATGACCGATGCCGAAGATATTAGTTGTGGCGCTTTCAAAGCCAGACTTGCCGCAGTCCGATTCGAAAATTTGTGATGCTGATACATTTAAGTACATTCTACGCACGGGGACTTGCGTGTCTCCAATTTGCATCGCAAAAACCTCCACACCCCTCTGGAGTTGTCATAGGAGCTGCACTTTTCTCACGCACAGCCAACTTCGAAGAGCGACAACCCCGAGCCGACGAAATCGCAACCGGAATGGCCAGATGACTCGCAGAAAAGCGGCGAGGGCGCAATGGACACGAAATCAACCAAGGGGGGGAAACATGTGACTGAAATTAGAAACCAAGCCTGTTTGCGACCTGTCTGAAATTCGAAGGCCCTGGTCTGAGATTCAATTTCAGACTTGTTGGTCCTAATTTCAGACTACACGGAAACAGGCTTGGCTTCTAATTTCAGACAGCTTCCCCGCGTTGTTTGTCGTGCCAAAATGGCTTCCGCAGGAGAAGGCAAGGGGATTTTCTGGGCTTCCCTGTGGCCCGGGTTGAGCCAAACACGAAAAAAACCTGTCTGAATTTAGAAACCAAGCCTGTTTGCGACCTGTCTGAAATTCGAGGTCTCTGGTCTGAAATTCAATTTCAGACTTGCTGGTCCTAATTTCAGACTACGCGGAAACAGGCTTGGTTTCTAATTTCAGACAGCTTCCCTGCGTTGTTTGTCATGCCAAAATGGCTTCCGCGGGAGAAGGCCAGGGGGTTTTCTGGGCTTCCCTGTTGCCCGGGTTGAGCCAAACACGAAAAAAACGTGTCTGAAATGAGAAACCAAGCCTGTTTGCGACCTGTCTGAAATTCGAGGTCTCTGGTCTGAAATTCAATCTCAGACTTGTCTGAAATTCGAGCGCGTCATCGCTTTCAGGGTGAGTCAGAGTGTGTGGATAACTTGCGTGTCTTTTGATATTACCGGCATTACATTCACATTGGTGAGGGATGGGAGTTGCGTCATCTTGTCGGTTGTTTGTTCTTTTTTTGTCTAAAGTGCCGCTCTCGTTGCGGGTGGTATTCGGTCGGTTTTCTGTTCTTGATATCACTGATGTCAATGTCAATGTCAACTGAAGATAAATGATGAAAATCGAATGGCATAAGGTGTGTATTAAGTTTAAGTAGCAGATGACTTATATTAGACAGACACCTAGCACCAGCTTTATTTTCCAGTCTTCATATAGGTTCGAGGATCGGCGCTCCTGCGCACACTGTTTTCCCACTCCCCCCTTTACTTTCTCCTACGACGATGTTGGAAATGAAATTGAAATTCGAAACTTATGATATGCTTACTACGGTATAATTGTTATGAGAAGATTAATTCTCGAACGGTCGTCATATCCCACGACTCTGGTTTGATGACGCAACACGAACACCTATCTGTGGCAGTAGACACTAGGTAGCACCACAAGAACAGCACGAGAGAGCTGCCGTTTTCGGTTCTTGTTTGACATCGTAAAACGCTGACACAGCACAGAAAAACAAAGAAGTATGGCGGGGCCTAAGCCGAAGGCGAAGGCGGGAGGAATCGCGGCAGCAGCTGCCAAAGCAAAGCCGGGTGGCGCAGCGATCCCAAAAGCCAAAGCCAAACACAAGGCTGGCGTGGGTGCTGCACCTGCTCCGGCTGCAGTGCCAAATATCGGAGCTGTCCCGAAGGCGGCGCCACCGTCGTTGCAGGCACTTCTTGGACGCTGGCTGCCATGCGGCGCGCAGGACCCAGTGCCAGTGCAGGTCAAACCGAAAGGAAAACCGAAGGCGGTTATCAACCTCCCCAATACGGTACCAGACGAGCACCAGGATCCGGAAGGGCATGCCGCATACAAGAAACTGCTCCAGAAGCTGAAGAAACAGGAGTGGAGCAGCAACCACTACCAGAAGCAGAAACTGGAAGAAGAAAATAATCGAAACATGCTCCTCGCTGCCAGTTTCATTATTTTGTGCAGCATAGCTGTTTTTTTCGCCAGCTCCTCCTCTACTACTTCATCATCTCCTTCTCCTGTGGTCCAACACGGCAAAGAAACATCCAAAAACTCCACCTGCAAGAATTCCGTCGACCACAACGCAACATGCCCAGGTGGAGCTCCGGAGGAATTTTTGTCGGCAGTCAACACTGCGAATGCCACATTGCTTCTAAAAACCGAGCAGGAGCAGTTGCCGTTTTCAGACGCAGTAAACGTAAACACCACCAGTAACCAGCGTGTGCACAACGCCTCGACGCCGGCGATCCCCTCGTCCATTACTATTGCAGCCCCATCCGTACAACCATTTTTCTCCTCGGTGACGAACGAAACCGCGGACGCGCACATAATCACGACGGCAACTTTTGCCGCGTCGGTGCCAGTCGGGCTGGGAATGACAAACAGGACGAATCCGCGGCAGCTGGTGGAGGCGAAGTCCCCCCGTCGCGCGACAACGGGAGCGATGGCCAAGGAGCTGGTAAAAAGATGGCGTCAGCCAACATCAAGGCGAGGAAAATGGTGGCGATGGTGAAAGCGGCATCGCAGCCGGCCCCAGTCAACCGCCAAGGACGAAGCCAAGATGAAAAGAAGGATGCCCGGTCGCGTAGCAGGAGCCGAAGCGCACGGAAGCCGTCTGCGCAGAAGGAGAAAAGCGCGTTTCCGAAAAACAATCCCTCGTCACGCGTCGGTTTTATGGGGTTCTCAAACGTTACACTCTCAACGGTTAGTCGCAGTGCGATAGATTTGGTATGCAAAATTACTATAAGGACCGACGCGATCAAGCTGCTTCGCATGACAAATTCTTGAAGGGGTAAACAGCATGATGACCGAGGCGTGCCAGACCTGTAATGCAAGACGCGCAGACCCCCACCTTTCACTTCTGCTAAATTCATCCTGCGCCGCGAATTCATGTAGCAAGAACAGCTGAGAATGTAGCAGTTTCGAATCCCATATGCATAGGTGTTGGGAAGTTGCCACTAGCAAACCTCGCAGCGTCGAGTGGTTCCGCGAGCGCAGCATCGTCGGCTGTTTCCTCGGCACGAAGAGCGAATAGTAAGGCACGTGCAGCGGCTGTGAAAGGACCAGCGTCATCTATCCTGTGTAAAAACGTCGCCACCCCAGAGCCAAGCTGGGATCTTTGCAAGACAAATCGAACATCTTTAGGACTCAAGCATGAAATACGCAGTGTAGTCGTGCCTAGCTCGTTCAAACGCATCAAAAATCCTGTCTTTTATCCTGATTAGCGCATGACAAATTTTCAAACGCCACTCCTACTAGACAATGCCTCTCATGCAGAGCCGCACCACACATCACATTCTGAGCATCTAGATCTGCATGACAACTCTGGCATGGGGGCGCTTTTGCAAAGGATATTGTCTTCCTCGTCTTCAGCGTCTTCTAGTGCGGGTCCAGCTTCCGGTATGACACGCAAAATAAAAGTGTTACTTGCCGTTGCAGGGCATTGTTTTGCAGAAAAAGCTGCATGACAGACGAGCTCAGTGATGTCCGGAACACTTGCGAGCCTATTGTAATCATGATCGTTTCATTCAATTACAACTGGTATCTGCTTCTGCAACATCGGCATTGCGATTGCAGGCATTCGTGTTGCTCTTGCTCAATCTGCGAAAGTGCTGTGTGTTTGTGGCATTTTTTTTTTTGGATAGTCGGCGCCCTGCTACCGAAAAACACCGGAAGCGAAGTTGGTCGTCTGGGCAGTGGTGCTAAATCCGCGGCGTCGCCAGGTATCCAGGAACAAACGCAGTGTCGTTGTATACGGAAATCTGTATTGCAGGAGGACCTAATATGCGAATGCGACCGACAAGGACATTCCAATTTTATTGTGATGCTGGATAGGCATCGTCGTGTTCGTGCTACTTCATGAGCTACGTCCACACGCCAGGTCTTCTGTTACTAACTTTGCGTGAGAACAACCCTTTGGTACCAAGCAAGACAACTTGGTGATCATGTTACACCGACACAACTTTTTCCCGGGAAACCACTATTAGGAGAAATGCTGGCCGACCGCGAGTATCCTGTGCAACTGCAGTATCGCATGTGATTAAATTCCAGTACTGCAACATGATATGTCTCGTTTCTACCAGTGCCATAGCCGAACCGGCACTTCAAAATTTCGTTTTGCTACAATTTCCTTCATATGAAATCCAATGTCGTTGGAATTTGTACTACCACATTGATGCACATGCAGCTTGCGCAGTGCATAACAATGGTGCGGAAGGGGACGAGACGCAGGGGGAGGTCGAGGACAAGGACACGGCGCAAACACTTCACCTACTCTCGTATCTGCTTCCTCTCTATCAAATGTAGACATGTCTGGGCCTGGAAGAGTCCGCGTGTTTGTCATGCACCTTCTACAGCTGCAGATAGCTTTGCTGCGTGCTGCATTCGAGACACTTATTATAGGTGTCTGGAATGCTCGCAAAGCATATACAGTTTTATTTGCGAAGCTTTCTTATTCTTGTTTGATGCCCCTTATTGTGCATTGGAAATTCGCTATCTGTGCAACAACGGTTGGGCAGCTTTCGGCACTCACACAACACAGATTTTTTTTTAAGTCTTTATCCGCTCGAGAATTTTAGCATTACAAGTTGGAACTCTTCCAGACCCAGATCTATAGTATCTATTTGCAATTCATACTTTCTGCCGGCTTGCAAAAACCAGTAAGAAGTCGTACTTCGACGTAGAAGTTGTGCGCGGCGGTTCCGGAAAAATAGAAATGGCCACACAGTGCAGCGTCGCTCTCAAGTGGCTGAAGAACCTAGGTGCCCAGCTCAGCGAGCGATGCGGGGTAGCGGAGGACGGAGAGAGCGGCCTTTGGGATTTCCCGCCGGACGAGATCGGAAAGGCCGTCATGGAGCCACTCGGCGCGGCGATTGGCCCCGGGTCCGGCAGGGATTTCACGTTCTACGCCGACGCGAAGGCCCTCGGGTTCCCTTTGGTGCAGTTCCACATCCTGCCGGGATACACGCTGCTCCGGACATGCAGCATGGCTTACGTAGCTGCGCCAATGGTCTCAATTGGAACGACAGCGGAAATGCTACGGCGGGGGCCCTGGTTTGTTGCCTCCCTTCCCGCTTTCGGCAGTTGAAAGCAAAGGAAATTACCAAAGGGCGCCGCGGGTTTTCTGCGTTGGCCAAGGGGATGGAATTTTTGCAAACAAAAGCGGCGGAACGGTAAGAAACCGCCCGGGAGACCGACAGCGGAAGTGCTACGGTGGGGGCCCTGGTTTGTTGCCTCCCTTCCCGTCTTCGGCAGTTGAAAGCGAAGGAAATCGAGCAAGGGCGTCGCGGGTTTTCCGATTTGGCCAAGGGGATGGAATTTTTGCAAACAAAAGTGGCGGAGCGGTAAGAAGCCGCCCGGGAGGCCGAGAGCGGAAATGCTACGGCGGGGGCCCTCGTTTGTTGCCCCCCTTCCCGCCTTCGGCTGTTGAAAGCATACAAAGGAAATTGCCAAAGGGCGGCGCGGGTTTTCTGATTTGGCCCAGGCGGTGAAATTTTTGCAAACAAAAGCGGCGGAACGGTAAGAAACCGCCCGGGAGACCGGAGGCGGAAATGCTACGGCGGGGGCCCTGGTTTGTTGCCCCCCTTCCCGTCTCCGGCAGTTGAAAGCAAAGGAAATCGCCAAAGGGCCGCGCGGGTTTTCCGATTTGGCAAAGGGGATGGAATTTTTGCAAACAAAAGTGGCGGAGCGGTAAGAAACCGCCCGGGGGACCGAAAGCGGAAACGCTACGGCGGGGGCCCTGGTTTGTTGCCCCCCTTCCCGTCTTCGGCAGTGGAAAGCAAAGGAAATTGCCAAAGGGCCGCGCGGGTTTTCCGATTTGGCCAAGGGGATGAAATTTTTGCAAACAAAATTGGCGGAACGGTAAGAAGCCGCCCAGGAGACCAAGAGCGGAAATGCTACGGCGGGGGCCCTGGTTTGTTGCCTCCCTTCCCGCCTTCGGCAGCCAGTTGCTTGGACGGAAAGGAAATTACCAAAGGGCGCCGCGGGTTTTCTGATTTGGCCCAGGGGATGAAATTTTTGCAAACAAAAGTGGCGGAACGGTAAGAAACCGCCCGGGAGACCGAGCGCGGAAATGCTACGACGGGGGCCCTGGTTTGTTGCCCCCCTTCCCGTCTTCGGCAGTTGAAAGCAAAGGAAACTGCCAAAGGGCCTCGCGGGTTTTCCGATTTGGCCAAGGGGATGGAATTTTTGCAAACAAAAGCGGCGGAGCGGTAAGAAACCGCCCGGGAGACCGAAAGCGGAAACGCTACGGCGGGCGGGGGCCCTGGTTTGTTGCCCCCCCTTCCCGTCTTCGGCAGTTGAAAGCAAAGGAAACCGCCGAAGGGCCTCGCGGGTTTTCCGATTTGGCCAAGGGGATGAAATTTTTGCAAACAAAAGTGGCGGAGCGGTAAGAAACCGCCCGGGAGACCGAGGGCGGAAAGGCTACGGCGGGGGCCCTGGTTTGTTGCCTCCCTTCCCGCCTTCGTTCGGCAGTTGAAAGCAAAGGAAATTGCCAAAGGGCGTTGCGGGTTTTCTGATTTGGCCCAGAAGATGAAACTTTTGCAAACAAAAGTGGCGGAACGGTAACAAACCGCCCGGGAGACCGAAAGCGGAAACGCTATGGCGAAGGCCCTGGCTTGTTGCCTGCCTTCCCGACCGTCTTCGGCAGTTGAAAGCAAAGGAAATCGCCAAAGGGCGGCGCAGGTTTTCTGATTTGGCCAAGGGGATGGAATTTTTGCAAACAAAAGAGGCGGAGCGGTAAGGAACCGCCCGGGAGACCGACGGCGGAAATGCTACGGCGGGGGCCCTGGTTTGTTGCCTCCCGTCCCGCCTTCGATCGGCAGTTGAAAGCAAGCAAAGGAAATTGCCAAAGGGCGTCGCGGGTTTTCTGATTTGGCCAAGGGGATGGAAATTTTGTAAACAAAAGGGGCGGAACGGTAAGAAACCGCCCGGGAGCCCGAAAGCGGAAACGCTACGCCGGGGGCCCTGGTTTGTCGCCTCCCTTCCCGCCCGGCAAAGGAGATTGCCAAAGGTTAGCGCGTGTTCTCTGATTTGGCCAAGGGGATGAAATTTTTGCAGACAAAAGTGGCGGAACGGTAAGAAACCTACCGCCCGGGAGACCGAAAGCGGAAACGCTACGGCGGGGGCCCTGGTTTCTTTGTTGCCTCCCTCCCCGCCTTCGGCAGTTGCAAGCAAGCTAAGGAAAATGCCAAGGGGTGTCTTGGGTTTTCTTATTTGGCCCAGGGGATGGAATTTTCGCAAACAAAATTGGCGGAACGGTAAGAAACCGCCCGGGAGACCGAAAGCGGAAATGCTACGACGGTCCCCCCTGCCGCAAGGGGGGGGGCTGCGAAGTGCGCACGCGCGCGCAGTTGCAAAAGCGGCAAGGCAGCGGCCGGCCCTCTCCCATGCCAGGCAAGGCAGTGCCGCTGGCGGTTCCGTTGCGTTTTCTTTTTCCTTCGGCGATGTTACGCGGCACAAGTTTGCGCATACCATGTCGCGCGCGGTCTTTAATCAGAGCGAGGCCGACTCTTTTCCAACGGTGTTCATACATTGGCGAGGCGTTTATTGGTCTCCCGCCTGAAATCAAAGCCGATCCAATTGAGATCATTGGGCCAGTTGCGCAAGCCATAGGGGCCTCATGCGGCTTCATAGCGGCGCGGCAGCGGAAGTCAGCAAAAAGCTCGGGCTTTGCTGAGAAAGGTCTGCAGGGCTATCGGGTTTGTAGCATTTGCTTCAGGGTTATCCGAGGGAGAGGCACCACCTCAGTCACACTTGAGCACTTTTGCAGCACGATAGTAGGGGGCGCGCACGCGTAGAACATTCAAGATTCATGCGTGGCAGCTTTGCTGCCCCTTCCTGTTTCGAGCAGGCCAGGCTTTTAACTTGCAAAACCTGCAATAGTGTGGCTGCGAAGATGTTTTTACCCTGGGTACGCGTCTTCGCCGGCTCGAGCCTGGTCGTGCAGCATATGGGACCCTCACGCGTTGCGCTCCCACCTGTAACTGTATACACAATTTGCCATGCTGAAAAATTACGATTACCAAAAGTCGCCACGCGATCTATCACGCTACTTCGCATCGCAAACTCCCTCTTGAAGAACTGAACAGCATTGATACCTTCGCCGAATTTGTGATGCAAGAGTCCTCGCATGCACCCTCCCCCCCCTTCACTTTTGGTTTTGGTGCTTCTATTCTTGGATTACAAATTTCTGTAACAGTTGACAATGATGTAAGTGTAACGCTTCAGTACTCCATACAGCAGGCCTCCAGACCGGAGACGAGCTGCTACCATAACTTTCTCCCGTCTACCCGTGTTGCACTGGTGAACGCAGAGGAACGCAATGAAGCTCTGCGGCTGGCGAGCGATTTTCTCGGTGGCATTCAGAAGACCAACGCGGGCGCCCGGCGATGGACACCCGTGACCCGGGGGAATGACGTCGTGCGGTTCGACCAAGTCCAGCGCGGGAGGTTTGTCCCCGTTGCCGTCCAAAAAAGGGTAGCGACGCAGAAGCAGTTTTCCAAGGAGGTCGGGACTATGCGGAGGCTGTCGCTAGACAAAGCCGTCGACAAGCTGGATGAATATGGCCTGTTCAGCGGTTAGGAAGGACAATCTCAATCGGAACAGCTAGAGAGTAGACCCCGAATCTGTCTTGCATCAGTGGCAAATAAAAGAAGAAAGTCTACTCTAGGTGGCAGCAGCAGCAGCAGCAGCAAGTCGCTGTGCTGGCAAGCCTGCTATGAATCTAGATGCGGTTTTTTATGACTCCGGAAATTTGTCATGCTGAGTAAGGAGACAGGTGGCGTCTACGGTAGGCAACCACTGCAGCTCATTCCCTCTCGTCTGCGCCAAAAACTTGTTCCGGTCGATATTCCTTCATCTTCTGAGAAGGTCATATGGAAGGCGATGAAAAACGACAGCGCCGCGCAATCGTCGTGCTGATCGACCTTGACGTGGAGAATATGCATTGCAAATGTGTCAACATGGTCTGGAAGTGTCCGAGTTTGTGATGCTAGGACTGGTCGATACAAAAATCTGTATTGCATGGCCGGGGGAAAACGTGCCTACCTGCATCCCGAACCTTAATGCAAGCTTCCGGATCCAGACATATTTCTAATCCATATCGCACCTGCGCTTTCAACTATGGCAACGAAAATTTGATGAGTCAAGATCAAGCAGAAGTGTTCACAAAACAAGGAGCTGCTGTCTGACGATTTCGTTTTGTAGTTTCTTGCATGTTGCTTTGCAACGAGAATGCGTTCGCAAAGTTACAGCATGTCTTGCCGACGTGCACTTGGAGGCGTGACTGCAGCGACTCAAAGAGATTTTCACTTGGATGACTATTATCCACTGCAATTAAGAAAAATAGTAGATTCTCTAGATCTGGGTCTGGGAAAATGGAAGTTGTGATGCTGGCCTTGCATAGCTGCCAAATCTTTGTTGCATGATGAACACCAGTTGTGCAGCTTCATCTGGGATGTGAAAACTCACTCGGTAGTGCGCGCTGCGCATGAGCAAGCGTTCATGCTGAAAAGTTGTCCTGGTTGGCTGCACTGACCAGGCTTTCACGCATCGACGACTGAATATATCCTCAGAATTCCAGACCGGGATTACTAGGATTAGCATACTAATTATTGATTTGCATTTCATAGCTTTGCTCTTACTGCGGGGCAAGCCTCCTGTCGCGATTTATTTCGGGTTTTTTTCGAGGCAAGACTGAGCGGCTGAGAGCCCAGTTTCGCGATGCGTTGACGTACGTGTGGGGAAGGAGAGCTATGAACAAGCAAACTTCTCAGGGTCGGCGGCAAGATCAGCTGTCTTCAGCGCTTAATTTGATCCAGCTTTTGTACCATATGCATATACGACTTGCGTTTGCATTCGGCTGACCGGTGTTCATCCTTACCGCCCCCTTCCGGCTTGGCGTTATTCCGTTACTCCGCTTTACAACCATAAAAAGCAGAGGAGGTGGTGGTAGAGGTAGAGCACAGGCAATGATAAACTGATGCAAGGATTATAGTTATAATTGAAGTACTTATGAATATGAAGACATCAAAATACCACATAGGTGTTCATATTTTTACTGCGCAATGATCTTCCGAATGTTTATTCACACTGCATACGTGTTCTCCACATGGACCACAAGGCCGAGAATGTCTGCGTGCGTGAGGAAGTATCAGCTGGAAACCTGTTTGGGCCTGTAATGCTGGTAATGGAGAGCTTATCGGGCTTGTCTTGCTTCCAAACTGGTCCTGAAAATGCGTTTTTTTTTCCAGACCAAAATAACGTAGTATGTATGTAAAACGCGTGTTGATAGCTAGGTAGCTGCACCACGAGAACGCACGATATAAACTTCTCATGCTTGGTGAGGGGAGTTTTTTATTTTTTCGTTTCACTCATCCAGCTCAACTTCCAGACCAACCAGGGAAAGTTTACATTTGATACGGGGCCGACGGGTACCAATTGCGGTTGATCGAGTATGGGGCTCTCAAGCGTTCTTGCGCTCTGAAATCTCAACTATTGCGATGCATAGGTGACGCAAGATTAACAAAACTGAAGGGGGGAAGATTCCGGGTTTTGCAGTACAAACTTAGTTCCGTGTTGTTAAGCGCACCAAAAACTTGTCATGCGAAGTAGGGTGATGATCGCGTGGAGGGGGCTAGTAAATTTGCATCACATCTTCATGCAACTACAGCTGGGAGTGTAAAGATTTGAGAAAAGCATATCAACTTTGGATCGGCGATCTTCGTGGCGGACGAAACTACGGTGGATTTGCATGAGCTCGCATACACCAAACCCTTCGTGGGGGAGGCGCTCAACAAACACGAACGGGAACAGCCGGACATGGCCGTACCAGCGGCAACCTTGCGCGAGCATGAGAAATTCACCGCCATGGCACTGGACCGCCTGCTGGCAGCGCCGAATGGGGGTGACCTGCTGCTGGAGATCGTGGAGCAAAAGGATGCGTGGATCAAAGACGAAGAGCGCGAAACCGGAAGTGGACGCCGCCGACTGCTTGCGGTACTCGATCCAACCGGGCAAGAACTGGCACGGCACGAGTTTCACGAGTTGCAGGAAACACAGCTACAAAAAGCGCGGAGCGAGGACCTAGATCCCCTTTAGGTCCCCTTCCGTATCGATTGCAAATGGAAGTGCGTCTGGATTTTTACATTGTTACTGTCAAACACGAACGCCCCGCCGTGTTGTGCCACAGCTACTGAAAGAAAGTTCGTCAGCATCAATTTAATCAGCGCCGGTCTCAAAAGTATTTATATGGAATCGAGAGCCTGGCCCTTCTTATTTTTCTCCTTCCCATGTGTGTCTAAGTAGCGGAAGATGGGCCTACCCCCGCAAACGCATTTTGGCTCAGGGAGCAGGCCCATACCCCGTTCCGTCGGCGAGTCGAGCGGAGGGGGGAGTAACCTTGCTGGCCGCCCACTTTGACACCGGAAACAGGTCGGGAACCCGTTCCGGCGTGCTGGCGTTTCTTTCCGCCTGGCGCGTCGGGCGGATGGGGGTGAAGCCTTTTTTTCCATTTTGGCACCTCGCTCCGGAAACAGGGTGGGAATCCGTTCCGGCGTGCTGGTATTTCTTTCCGCTCGACGCGCCGGGCGTCGAGCGGAAGGGGGGTCAACCTTTTTGGCCCACTTTGTCACCGGAAAAAGGGTGGGAACCCGTTCCGGCGTGCTGGTGTTTCTTTCCGCTCGACCCCCCGGGGGTCGAGCGGAAGGGGCGCCAACCTTCCTGGGCCACTTTTACACCGGAAACAGGGCGGGAACCCGTTCCGGCGTGCTGGTGTTTCTTTCCGCTCGACCCCCCGGGGGTCGAGCGGAAGGGGCG